TGGAAGTTCCTCTTAACGCACTGGAAGTTCCAAATGATGTGTTTATTTTTCAAATTCAAGACAATTAAACTGAATCCATTTTAGAGCACCTCGTATAATTACAGGAGAAAGTCTGAGGCATGGCAAAGGCAGGGGCTGCTTATCAGAGCTTAGAGTTTTAAAGCCACGGGCTAGATTTCCAGTGCCCTGACCATACTCACAAGACAGTCAACAGGAACTCTGTACGGCAGTGATGGCGAACCTTTTGAGCTCGGCGTGTCAGCATTTTGAAAAACCCTAACTTAACTCTGGTGCCGTGTCACATACAGAAATGTTCTTTATATTTGAAACCATAGTAAAACAGATTTATATTTTTGATATTTATTTTATATATTTAAATGTCATTTAACAAAGAAAAATCAACCAAATCAACCAAAAAAATGAGTTCGCGTGTCACAGGTTCGCCATCACTGCTGTAAGGGGATATGCTCCTACTCCAGTTGCTCTCTGAGGACCTGGCAGTATTTCTACTGCTAACAGTTTCCCACGCCCCCAAGCTAAGCTTTCCACAAGTGATCTCATCTTCATCACAAGGACAGATCCCACCTAAGATGTGGCTTCCTTCACGTACCTTCAGAAACACCCTGGCCATCCTGGTATTCTCAAAAACCCAAACTTTCTTAACTTTGTTGGCACAATAACACTTTCATAAGTTTTCATGTATCCCACAGCCTTTTGCTCCCACACCAGAAAAGGCCAGCATCTCTCAGAATTTCCATGTCAGGAGATAAGAGAAAACTTTTCCTTGCACTTCATGAAGTCAAGCTGATTACATCATAGAGCCAAGTTATCTTTGGCTACAAAAGGCCACTGATGCTAAGAAAATTGAGTAAAAATTCCAGGGAAATTAATTCTTCTCCCAGAGCTATCATTTATAGGAGAATTTCAGTGAATATTTGATCGAATATGAACAGGCAGCAAACATCACACCTGCAAATTTGAGAAAATAAAATGCTAATTCCTACAGAACAAATGGCAACAGCTTGAGAGAGCAAGGACTCCACTGAAGGGATCATTCTCTACACAATGCTTCTAGCTCCCCTCCCAAGGCCCCCTGCAACGGCACACCCGTCAAAAGGAGATAATATTCACCCTCAATCTCCAGGGCCTGGGACAACAAAGAAAGCCAAGGCAATAGGACACTGCTAGAAGCAAATCCCCCAGGAGGGGCTGGAATACAGGGGCTGCCTCCGGTGCTGGCTGGCTCTCCACCTCTTCCTACACAAAGGTGAAGGCCTGAGGCGACAGACAGCCTGGCTAAGCGATGCCTGATGAGCCAGCTCTGTGCCTCTGTGCCGGCTTGGGAAAGGGCTGGAGGGTCCTTGGCCACCATATAGACAACCTCATTAAGGCGTACATAATATCCGACAAAGCAAGCTGGCAGACCTATAAATGTCAGGCAATGAAAAATAAAAATAATTTCACATCGAGAGTCAGGCTAGCGGAGAGTTATAAAAGACTCAACCCAGCCCAGCCGGTGTGGTTTGGTGGTTGAGCTTCGCCCTATGAACCAGGTCACCAGTTGGATTCTGGGTCAGGGCACATGCCTGGGATCAGGCTTCATCTCCAGCAGGGGAAGTGCGGAAGGCAGCCCATCGATGTTTCTCTCTCATCAATCTATCTCTATATCCCTCTCCCTTCCTCTCTAAAAAATAAAAAAAATATTAAACAAAAAAACCTCAATCCAAAGATTTCACTGAAACCTCCTCAGAAGCAAACAGACTCTACTCAGAGGTGCCCAGCAGAGGTCTCAGCATCTGCACGATCTGGCCTGTAAGTAAAACCTGAGGGGAGGAGAATGGGCGAACAGACAGACATTCATCTTCCATGAACCCTGGCTTATGCACCTGAAGGAGTAAGCACTTATTCCCTCACATTATTATACCTCGCAGAAGATTTTGAACTACTGTGTTCTTGGGAGCTTGATCCACATCCATTTCCTTAAAGAATATCCAGATACGAACACTTATTTTCCTAGAATTATGACTGGAAATTACTTGACATGAAGAAGGGGGAGGAGGAGGAGATGTCTGATTTCAGATGCTTACTAGGTACCAGGAGATATGCAAAATGTTCTGTACGTATTTTCACCAAGAGCCACTCCTCCAGAAGCGCCCCTGAGCACTCCATCTAAAGTCCTCCACGAACCCGCCATGCATCTCTCATCGCCGGGCTCATTATCTTTATAGCGCTCAGCACTATCATGTTTTGTTTTAATCTGTCTACTTGCTTATGCACTAAAACAGAAGTTATACAATTTGTCGTGTTTACTGCAGTATCTCCGACATCCAGAAGGTGAGCCTGGCACACAGCAGCATCATGAACCACCTCACCTAATCCACACCGGAGCCCCGGGAGGTACTGAAGACACAGGGAACGGGGCTGAGGAAGGTTAAAAAACTTGCCAGAGACAACCCAGCTAGGAAGTAATACCAGGAGGCAGAGCCTACACTCACTCCTCTCTTCTAAGCTATATACTATTTCACTGAAGATCCCGTTCTCAAAAAATGTCTCATAAAAACAAACTGCACACATGCCAAGCTGCGGTAAAGGCTACTGAAAGAATGCCGATTGGACAGGGAAGGCTATGCCACTCAGCAAGAGATACTGCTGCGGGGCAGTGCTAGCAGGAAGCCCTCAGTCCCATGACCAGGAGAAGAGTAAGTATCTAGGAGAAGGAGTCGAATGGATGTGGTGATGTCTCATTAAGAAATAACTCCAAAGAACATTGAAAATGGTATCAGACAAAAATGTGGAGTGTGAGAGAACATTTATGGGATCCTGAGTACCTCATAATCTCTGTCACCTTTCTTAGTCTGAGATTATAAGGCCCTACAAGACAGGGCTGCCCTTACGTTTACTCCTGCAGAGAGCTGTATGGAACCCTATGCATGAAAATGTCTACCTGTCGCCCTGGCAGGTGTGGCTCAGTTGGCTGAATGTTGTCCTGTGCAGCGAGAGGTCCCTGGTTTGATTCCTGGTCAGGTCACATGCTGGGGTTGCTGTGCTCCATCTCCGTAGGGGGCATGCAGGAGGCAGCTGATTGATGTTTCTCTCTCTCCCCCTTTCTCTCTAAAAATCAGTAAGAACATGTTTAAAAAAAGAAAACGTTTACCAGTCCAAACACTGTTTCACCCCTGAGAGAACCCTGGGCCTGCTCCTGCTTTGTTATGCTGTCCCATTCATTGGGCAAGGATCACTCAGCAGGGACCTGGAGTCCCCGAGTGACCACAGACTGGGTGGTATGGGTGAGAAGAGAGATACTGTGTGTGTAAATGCACATTTTCCCAGGTGTGGCTCTAAGAGAAACCCTAAGGATAAACATTGTTTTTAGAGAAGGCTGCCCTACTTCTATCTGGCACCACTCTTTAGGGGGCTGGGTCCCTTCGATAAGATTTTTTGGTAGGGATGGAGGGAAGAAGCAGTTAAGGCACAACATTCTTTATGTTTTGAGAGCAAAGGTTAAAGAGCTCTAATATAAGGCAACACCTCTCTAGGAGGAATGAGGGAATGGTACAAAAGCGATGGCACCTGCCACGGCCCCCACTTACACTTCCGCCACCCAAAGTATTGCTCAGTGCAGAGGCAAAGGACTTAAAGACTATTCACTGATCAGAACAAGATGATTATGAATTAAATGAATGCTCTCGAATTAGGACAGATTGTCAGGAAGAAATCAACCATAAGGATACAGATTAGACCTTCATTCTTCTCTCCCAATACCGGAAGGTAGAAGTTTCTGACACATAATTAGTGTCTGTTAAATGACTGATTCAATGATGGACACGGAACAGTCAGTCAACAAGAACTCTGTCAAGGGAGTATGGTCCGAACCCAGTCATTCTCTGAGGATCCAGCAGTATTCTATCACTAACAATGGAGATGGACACGTCAAGTTTCCTTCTAATTAGTGCTTCTCCCACAGGACAGAGAGCATGTCATGTCCGTAAGGGAGAAGATGGCCAAAGAAGGAAAAGGTTCAGGGTGTGAGCAGCTGAACGGGACAAAGCCAATGAAAGGGCCTGAGGCTGCCCAGGAGGAGCCGCTCTCGAGCGCACTGCTCTTCTCCAGCAGAGCCTGCTTCTGAGGCTCTGGGAGCACTACCCTCACCCCGTTAAGGACAGGCAGTGGGTACCTGAAATCAAACTGTATCACTACGCTTCCTTCTCTCACTTTACAGTTGGGGGAAATAAGACACCACAAAAAAACAAACAAAAAACTTTCCCCAAGGAAACACCAAGACAAGAAGGATTCTATCCAGTTCCTAATTCTTCCCAAAACTACCAGGCAGGGTTTAATTAAGACTCAGATAAGAGATCGAGGTGGCAAGCTGAATACATCTGGGTGTTTCAAGCATGAGGGAAGTACAGATTCAGATTTACCAGCTTTGACATATGCAGCCAAAACCTGGAGTACAAAACTCCCATCTGCAGAGGGCAACCATTAATGCAACACACACGAACAAGCCGTGAGGCTCTCCTCCCCGATGGCCCTTGTAGGAAAGGAGCACATGCAGGCAGGACCGAGTGCCATCGACGTTGCCATCAGCGGTCTTGGCCCGAGGTCTGGGTAAGAGTACGGACCCAGATTTCCTGTGCCAGGCAGGGCCTTGAGATCACAGACCCCCAAGGATCATTCTTCGCATCAGGATCCCCATCTCAGCCACACTCCACAGGAGGAAGCACTCCAGACCTGTCATTTCCCCATCTACTGTCTTTGAAATATAGTCCAACCACAACTGGGCTTTGGTTTTTAAAATACACTCTGCGCCCATTAACTCCTCCAGAGGACCCTTCCGGCCTCTTTTAAAGTTTCTCCTCATAATCGCTTTTTGGTTGGCATGTGGTGTGCTGCAAACATGAATTTCTGGCACCTTTCCAAAGTTTAATCACTTGAAACCCTCCCTCCCCATACATAGAAATAGATCCTTCCAGCATCATTTGACCGAAGTATAAAGCAACCTGGTTGGCCTCCATGCATCCGATGGCATCTTCCAAGAGTGAAAACTCCACGCAGACATAGCCATAGTCGTAACCTGGGGACAGCATTTAAATACAGACGGGAGTGGTGTTAGTGCCTTGCAAAAACAAAAAACACACTTCAATCCCCTGTTTCTGAACCCTTTAAACACAGCCCTCCCAGCTGGCCCCTCCCTCTCCTAAACTAGGCAAAGCTGCTACCCCAAACAGAAAAAAGTACTGAAGGAAAGTCTGGATGTTTCTGGATAGTCACTCCCAGAAGGACTTTTCCTATGAACCAAGAAGATCCTCTGCGCTCTTCAGCACTGCCGCTCCGAGAGGGTCATCCCACGGAGAGTTTAAGTGGGGACCCAAAACATTTTAACCACAAGCTGAATCTTCTGGGGGAAAGTCAGTAAGAACAGGAAAGTGTCTGAGGGAAAAGCATCCCGAGAGAGTAGAAGCAATTATCCCAAAGCTATGCTAATAGTCACCACTTTTCAAGCAGAAACCACCTTCAAAGACAGAAGTGCTGACAGACTGAGGCAACTATTCTGTTTGGATGCCACGGGAGGCTTCTGGCTGGCAGGGGGCAGACCATTTCAGGCCTCCTCTTTTTTTTTCTTGTTTCAACTCAAGTCATAAACCAGCTAAATCTTTACAAAAGGAAGAAGGTGTAAAAGCATAAGTAAGTACAAAGAGCTGGGTCCAAAATTGTGCTTATGCACAAAGATCTGCGGTGGGTAGGCTGGGGGAGAGACAGCTGTGGTTAGCAATCAATACACATTGAAGAACTGTACGTACCATTAGTTATCACACCCTTCACCTTTCTCCTGATCAAGTGCCATCTGCGGCTCTCATGACCCATGAAACGGCAAAGTCATGGGATTTACAGGCTGCTGAGCTCTAACCCCAACCACCCTGCGGTTTCCCTGCGGTGCCAGCGTCTGACTGTACAAATACACTTGTCAGTGCTCCCCAGGGGCTCCCATGCTTCCTCCACTGCCTCACAGGAGAAAGCTCATCTTTAGGGGGACACTGCACAGACGGAACAGCAAGAAAAGATATGGTTTGTTCCGATGAGAAGTAAAACTCAAGGAAAGAAAAACAACACAAAACCCAGGGCAATTTTAAGTACAAAGTATATATATATATATATATTAGGAAACTGCTATCATTGATTCAAGACAGCAAGGGCCGGGGGTCAATGGGGGAAAAGGAGACAAATGTAATACTTTAAACAAAACAAACAAAAAAGACATCAACAGCCAAAAATCAAATCATATTAAGTTAATTACAATAAAAAACACACCTACGGTAATAGAAAATATAGCTTAAAAAGTAGACCAAAGTTGGTAAAATGGGTTGGATTCCTTGTCATGTGGAATGAATGGCCTGAAATGTTTCATGATAGTAATATAGTTATAATCTTGTTAAATACTTCAGGTTCATTAAGAAAAGTTACGACGGTATAGGTTGATTCTTGCTTTGAATTTTAGGAAATGACCAGGAAGAATAAAAGAAAACTGCTAGAAATCTCAAATTTTCTACCCGATTTCAAAGTTTTGACCATAACCCCTGCAACCTCTACTTAAACTTACCACAAAATCAGGCTCCTCTGATTAGTAACTATTGGAAGAGATGAAATTACTTTAGAGAAAAGGTGTGAGTATATCTGTATATATCCTATTAGCAAGGGAAATTGTTTCATTACTTACTTTCTTTCAATGGAATGGATTCTCTTGGTCAAACTCAGTGCACATCTCATACATAAAACATTCTGCACTGTGTAGAGGGCTCTGAGTGTTCCTGGGAAACATTGTAGAATAGCAAGAGCAACTAAGGTGCTTTTTATCACCAACTAAAGGCCCAGTGCACGGATTCAGGGTCCTTGAGGGGTCCCAGATTGCAAGAGGGCACAGGCCAGGCCGAGGGACGCCACCGGTGCATGATCGGGGCCGGGGAGGGACCGTGTGAGGGCTCCAGAGCATGTCCGGTCCATCTCACCCGGTCCCGACGGGCTGGACCCCAGCAGCAAGCTAACCTACTGGTTGGAGCGTCTGCCCCCCCGGGTGGTCAGTGAGCATCATAGCAACTGGTAGAACGAATGGTCAGACACTTAGCATATTAGGCTTTTATTATATAGGATATCTACTGCAAACACTCAAATGCATGTTTACAGTCAGAAAGGGATAAGGGGTAGCCACGGAACAAGCAGAGGTGCACTCAAATATGTGATGGCTGCTACATAACACACCAAGAAAGAGTGCAGGAGTGTGGTTAGCAACTCACAGCTGCTGAAATGAAAATAGGAACCAACACCAAACTAGCAAAGCCTTGAGCTTCCTTCCTATGCTTAAAGAAGTAAGTATTGTGGCCCAAAGGAGCATACAGCATCTGGAGAGAGAGGGAGAGAGGGAGAGAGGGGGAGAGAGAGAGAGAGAGAGAGAGAAAGAGAAAGAACACTCTTGATAACGTTCATACTTCACTAAAGGACAAACAGACTTTGATACTAAAGTCACTGGGAAGAAAAGATACGGTCCACAGGAGACATTAAGAGCATCTAATAGCCGAAACCGGTTTGGCTCAGTGGATAGAGCGTTGGCCTGCGGACTGAGGGGTCCCGGGTTCGATTCCGGTCAAGGGCATGTACCTGGGCTGTGGGCACATCCCCAGTGGGAGATGTGCAGGAGGCAGCTGATCGATGTTTCTCTCTCATCGATGTTTCTAACTTTCTATCTCTCTCCCTTCCTCTCTGTGAAAAATCAATAAAATATATTTAAAAAAAAAAAAAGAGCATCTAATAACACCTTTATACATCAATCCTGCAATACTGTATGCTGACAATGTACTTTAGATTTAATATTAAATTCACAAGCTCAATGCTCTGCTCAATTTCTCCTGCCCACAACTTTAGCTATCAAACAAGAACAGAAGTTTAAAGTTTAATTATAATGCCTAAAACTTATGCTCTACCCCTAAGCCAAGCTGGCATTTTGTGTGTCCCAGGCATTTTGTGTGTCCAAGACTCATGGTTATACCATAAGAATTCTCAGTAATTAACAAATTAACGGTGATACTAAGTTATATTTACTTCACATACATGAATTGAATCCTCACAAGAGGACCCTATGAGGCAAGTATGACTGACCTCACTTACCCATGCGAAGCAGCAAAGGAAGAACGGTTTGCTTAACTCACCGAGACTGCAAACCCAGGCAGTCAGACTCACACTGATGCTATGAGCCGCTACACCGTATGGCCTCACCCTTTAACACTGATGTAAGTAATTTGAATTCCAAATTCCCTGCAGCCCATTTACAGAAAGGGTCCCACACCTTGAGCACAGACAAGACCACGTCTATAGTTAAGAAATACTGAAATTTGCAGCACAACGAATTATTCTTACTGCACAATGTCAACGGCAGAACCACTGGGAGTGGGCCTGAGTATGCAAATTAGAAAGCAATCATTCACAGACTGACTTATACTGGCTGTCAAAGTTCTGAAAAGACAAAAACCCAAAGTCTTATTATAAATGATGGCTATAAAAATTACAGCCCTAGCCAGTTTGGCTCAGTGGATAGAGCATCAGCCCGTGAACTGAAGGGTCCTGGGTTCGATTCTGGTCAAGGGCACATACCTTGGTTACAGGCCCTATCCGCAACCCTGGTTGGGACACACGTGGAAGGCAACCAATCAAAGTGTCTCTCTCACATCGATGTTTCTTTCTCCCCCTCCCTTCCACTTTCTCTAAAAATCAAAGGAAAAATATCCTCAGGTGAGGATTAAAAAAAAACAAAACAAAACAAAAAAAATGACAATATGCCCTAACTGGTTTGGCTCAGTGGATAGAGCGTCAGCCTGCGGACTGGAAGGTCCCAGGTTCGATTCGGTCAAGGGCATGTACCTTGGTTGCGGGCACATCCCCAATAGGAGGTGTGCAGGAGGCAGCTGATGAATGTTTCTCTCCCATAGATGTTTCTGACTCTCTATTCCTCTCTGTAAAAAATCAATAAAATATTTTTAAAAAAATGACAATATGGTAAAATACTTGCTATAGGATACTTAAGAAGTCAGCCCATGAGATGAAAACCATGCACTGTCAAAATCATACTCCACCACCCCAAGGTGAAGAACATACCATCTCTCAACACAGGCTAAGTCAGACATGCCTGTGTCCCCCGCGCTGCAGCAGACTGCTCTTCTGGATGACACCAGGTGAAGGGCTGGCTTGCATATTTAAGGGCCATAATATATGAAAATATGTGACTTGAAATAACAGAATCACAGCCAGCACAGTGAATGCTCACACTCAGAGAAACCTGGAAATAGACCACCTGAAGCCCCAGCCGAGTCACCCCTGCCTCCCATGCTAACTTCATGAGAGGGAAGGTGAGGTGTAGGATGGAGGAGAGGGGTAGAGCAAGCACAGGTGAATACACAGAAATTTAAAAATGACATAGGCAACACTACTGTATACAAAAATAATTATAGTGGTTGGATTGTTACACTGAGAAAATTAAGCTTTTATAATCCACAGGAAAAGTTTTAGTAGACACAGAAGGTATTCATTCCACCCAGAGACCTAAACATTCTGAAAACGACCAACCAACCCTGCAGTCAGAACCATGTGGAACCATCAAGATGACAACTCAAAAATAAAAAATAAAAATAAAAAAAGATGGCAAACTCCGTGTTCATTGTCACACAGACAGATGTGTTCTTACCGAAAGGAACAAAAGGTCTCTTTTATTTCCTTTTCCTTCCTCCATCATACGCTGGGAAGAAGTCTGGTGGGCTGATGGGTCTTAGGGCTTATTTCCATGACTATTCAAAAGCACATCCTACTCCATTTTCTAACCTGAAACTATCCATTTCTCATAGAAATGCGAATGAATGCTCTTATACTTTTTTTTGGCAGCTGAGAATGAGAACAAGGCAAAGGGAGAACATCTATAAGGATAAAATTAATATTTAGACTCTTGTCTCTTCATTAACCATGTGGTTGCCTGTTCCCCAAAAAAGTATCTGTGAGAAAATCTAACCAGGTGCTTATGGGGAACAAGGTACAGAA